GGGCCTTTTGTTTTACCTCCCCCCAATACAACCTTCCCCCCCCCCCCGTTGTGGGCCTGAACTCTGGGCCTGGGCGCTGTCCCTCAGCTCTTCAGCCCAAGGCTAGCACTCTATCACTTGAGCCACAGCGCCACTTCCGGCTTTTTCTGCTTATGTGGTGCTGAGGAATTGAGCCCAGATTCTCATCCATGCAAGGCAAGCACTTTACCACTGAGCCAACATTCCAGAGCTCCCCTCCCCCCCATACAATTTTGTGCTAACTGCTCCAGCTGGCCTCTAATCATGAACCTCTTGTTTCCACTTCCCAGTAGCTGTTATTTGTTGATTTTGATGGCACATACTATTCAGGCTACCATTTGGGCCACACCTTTTTTTTTTTTTGGTCCGGTCGTGGGTCCTGAACTCTGGGCCTGAGCACTGTCCCTCAGCTCTTCAGCTCAAGGCTAGCGCTCTACCACTTGAGCCACAGCGCCACTTCCGGCTTTTATCTTTTTGCCTATGCAGTGCTGAGGAATTGAGCCCAGACTCTCATCCATGCAAGGCAAGCGCTCTACCACTGAGCCACCTTCCCAGCCCCTGGGCCACACCTTTTGTTCCCCCTCTATGCCCCTCAGTTTTTTTTCTCCCCCGGCCCGCCCCCCCCACCCCGCCCCTCATTTTTTTGTATGTAGGATTGTGCTATGTAGCCCAGTCTGGCTTCAAACTCGAAATTCCACTGACTCAGCCTCGGCTGGGATTACTGGTAATGTACCACCACGCTCGGCTCTCAAGCAACTTTTGCATCCCACTTGCCTGAGTGACCGCAGAGCTGAAGCCGGCTTCGCAGTATCGCTTGTCGCCTGGAGGAGGCAAGAAGGGTTCAGCAAAAGGGTGGCTCAACAAGGCTTGGGGGCAGGTTTATGGGGTGGAGGTGTGGCCTTGAAGGGTAGGGCGGGGCTAGGGGCAAGGCCGGTGCCAGTTGTAAAGGACAGTCTGAAACACTGCATGAGAGCATGAGATTAGGAGTCACGCTAAGCAGAGTCAAAGGGAGAACAGAACTTACTAAAACCACTTTTTTTGTAAACCGAGCTCATGGTGTTGGCCCTACAGGGTGAATATTCTGCTCGGCCACCGCTCTGAAGTTGAGCCACGTAGCAGCCACCCACCGGTGCCTTTTCAGCTTCCTCTGTTTTGTCTAGGGCGTTCCAGTGCTGCCAGGGGGCGCAGGCCTGGAACAGGGCCACAAGAGAGTCGGAAAGGATCCAAGGCACAAGACTGGAGCTTCCCCCAATGCATCTATGCCCTGGCTGCTCCTGGTGTCCTGTCTGCAGTGCCCACCACAATGACGTCGTTCCAGCTGACCACAGATGCTCCAAGTCCTTGCCGGGCTTTAAAGCTTTGAAAAGTCTGGGAGCCTACGTTTCGGGACTCATCCCCTGAAGGTTACAAGAAAAGAATGGGAGCACTGAAGCCGGCTGCCTCGGCCATTTGGTCCCTCCCATCCCCTTCAGACCCTGGACTCACTGAGGTCGAAGGGTAGCAAGGTGCACTGGCCCCCCTCGGCCTTCCAGGGACACAGGAACACGCCACCAGTCTCCTCCTGGCTTGGGCCCATGGTCTGCGGGGCGCCCACCACGATAGCCACACTGCATAGGAAAGTTGGATGAGCACAGCTCAGATGACTATATCCTGTAGGGTGCCTGCCTGTGGGAGCACACATTATCTAGGAAGACCTCTTCAACTTATGGACAGGGTAATGGATCCTCAGAGAATTCACATGAGACTAAAACCATTTGGTTTGATTTGAACACAAAGAGCTGGATATACTTGCCGATAAAGACCTCCTAAAACTCAGTATGCAAGTCCTCATTCACCCTCTTGACAAAAACCAGAACTTCAGCCGAGAGCTGGTGGCTCACGCCTGTAATCCTAGCTACTCAGGAGGCTGAGATTCCTGAGGATCACTGTTCAAAGCCAGCTTCCACAGGAAAGTCTGAGACATATTATATTCAATAATATATTCAGAAAAGGCATAAGTTGTGACTCAAATGATAGAGTGCTAGTTTTGAGCACAAAGAGGCTCAGGGACAGCTCCCACTCCCCGAGAAGTCCCAGGACTGGTTAAAAAAAAGAAAAAAGATAACACCCTGGCAAACCTAGGTTTAAATCACAGTTCTGCCTTATGCAAAAAAAAAAAAAGGATAATATCAATGCTGGCAAAAGGAGTGAATGTCATATATGTACGAGGAACATTTATCATAGCTCCTGCCAAGTGTTTTTTTTTTTTGGGGGGGGGTCCAGTCGTGGGGCCTGAACTCTGGGCCTGGGCGCTGTCCCTCAGCTCTTCAGCTCAAGGCTAGCGCTCTACCACTTGAGCCACAGTGCCACTTCCGGCTTTTTTCTTTTTGCTTATGTGGTGCTGAGGAATTGAACCCAGGGCGTCTGGCATGCAAGGCAAGCGCTCTACCACTGAGCCACCTCCCCAGCCCAAGTTCCTTGAATTTCATTTAGGATTATCATCACTGATGAATCCCAGTGTCAAATTCATGGTTGGCATGCAATAAACTTGTTGGTTACTGTATTTCTGCATAATCTATGAGCCCAATATTAACTCACATTGCATTGTACTCTGTTCAAGGCACTGAGCTAACCAAGGATACAGATAACCATCAAGGACTTCAGTCCAGAAAGAATTGGGACAGAAGGGTCACATTTCACAGCTACCTTGTGAAATAGGTATAACTATTTCATACAGGTAAACCTATTGTAAAAAGCTTTAGGTATTTTGTCCATGTTTATACAGCCAATGGCAAAACTATTTTTTTGGGGGGGGGTCCAGTCGTGGGGCCTGAACTCTGGGCCTGGGCACTGTCCCTCAGCTCCTCAGCTCAAGGCTAGCGCTCTACCACTTGAGCCACACTGCCACTTCCGGCTTTTTTCTTTTTGCTTATGTGGTGCTGAGGAATCAAACCCAGGGCCTCATGCATGCAAGGCAAGTGCTCTACCACTGAGCCACCTCCCCAGCCCCAAGTTCCTTGAATTTCATTTAGGATTATCATCACTGATGAATCCCAGTGTCAAATTCATGGTTGGCATGCAATAAACTTGTTGGTTACTGTATTTCTGCATAATCTATGAGCCCAATATTAACTCACATTGCATTGTACTCTGTTCAAGGCACTGAGCTAACCAAGGATACAGATAACCATCAAGGACTTCAGTCCAGAAAGAATTGGGACAGAAGGGTCACATTTCACAGCTACCTTGTGAAATAGGTATAACTATTTCATACAGGTAAACCTATTGTAAAAAGCTTTAGGTATTTTGTCCATGTTTATACAGCCAATGGCAAAACTATGATTTAAAGACAAGTTGCCATTTGTGTTTTAGGAATAGAGAATTATATATGCATAGGGAACAGCACAGAAGTCAATATTAAGGATGGGTAATAGGAGCCTCAGCAGATAGATTGAGGCAGAAAGGTGGAAAGGAAATCACAGGAGGTTCTTGATAAAGATTTTTTAAAGTCAGGGAATAAGAGATTCAATGATCAATTGCGTCCCAACTTGGAGCACATTACATGGGCTGTCTGTGGATAGAAAGTCAGACTTTGTGGGTAAATGGGCAGGGACTGCAGTCTTCAGGGTTGAAGACAGGGAGGCCTGGACCAGGATACTGGTGGTAAGAACAATGGATAGCAGAGATCATAGCAACAACAGTATCTGGATGTGGTAGGGATGTGTCATAGATAATTCAAAGCTTTGGTGCCTGGTAGGACAGTGGGACCATTAAATAAAATTGGAAACACAGGAGGTAGGTTTTGGTAAGGAGTTTGGAGTATAAGCTTTGATGTCAGAGATGATTGTTTTTAGTGCTGATCTCTTGTTCCCACTTTTCTCCTGTGAGCCAGTCATTCTGAATCTCTTGATGAATTCATCTTTTTGTTTTTTAGTCAGTCCTAGGGCTTGAACCCTGGGCCTGGGCTCTATTCCTGAGTTCTTTTTGCTCAAGGCTAGTGTTCTACAGCTTTGAACCATCACTCCACTTCCAATTTTCTGGTGTTTAACTGGAGATAAGAATCTCTCAGCAGCCAGGCGCTGGTGGCTCACGCCTATAATCCTAGCTACTCAGGAGGCTGAGATCTGAGGATCGCGGTTCAAAGCCAGCCCGGGCAGGAGAGACCGTGAGACTCCTATCTCCAATAAACCACCAGAAAACCGGAAGTGGCGCTGTGGCTCAAGTGGTAGAGTGCTAGCCTTGAGCTGAAGAGCTGAGGGACAGCGCCCGGCCCAGAGTTCAGGCCCCACAACTGGACCAAAAAAAAAAAAAAAAAACCAACAATGAAACAAAACTAAACACTTTTATATATTTATATATAGTGTTTATACTTAATACTCCCTCTCTGTCTTCCACTATCCGCTAAAGTTTAACTTGCAGACTAGGTAGAGTTTAACAAACAAAAAAAAAAGATCAATTGTAACAATACAAAGTACTCTTTCTCCAATGGGCAGTAACATGGATATATTGAACAAAGGGATGATTCATGTAAGACAACTCAAGATTTCATCATGCTACTTAGAATGGCACACAATTCAAAACTTGTAAATTTTTTTTTTTGGGGGGGGGTGGTCTGGTTGTGTAGCCTGAACTCTGGGCCTGGGTGCTGTCCCTCAGCTCTTCAGCTCAAGGCTAGCGCTCTACTTGAGCCACAGCGCCACTTCCGGCTTTTTTCTTTTTTGCTTATGTGGTGCTGAGGAATCAAACCCAGAGCCTCAGGCATGCAAGGCAAGCGCTCTACCACTGAGCCACCTTCCCAGCCCACTTGTAAATTCTTTATTTCTGGAATTTTCCTTTTAATATTTTTAGACTAATGGTTAAACTGAAACAGAAACCACAGGGACTATTAGTTTCTGGAAAGGCAGAACAATGACCATAATCCTTTCAGCTTTGACACTGGGAACACTGAAGAGCCTTAATGCCATTTATAAACTGCCTATCTTGCCTGAAAATTTCAGTGTGTATGGGTATCCCTTGAGTATCAAACTCAAGAATGAAATAAATGTAGATACTCATTTGAATAAAGCTTCTGTTAATTGACCCTTATCTCCTAACTCTTCTTAATTCTGAAACCCAAATCATTCCAATCTATATCTTGCTATATGAGCTGCTGCGTTTGGCAAATGGGCACTCAACAGACTGGCCAGATGTTTACAGTATGTTATGAAACCTACCCCAAAGAAACGAATAAGTAAAACTCCTAAACACAAAACTCTTAAATTGAACAAAAAGGAGATTCATTTTGATCTTTTACTTTATTTTTGTCTTGTTACAGTAGTATCGTGGACTCACACACTAGTTCTAGGATGAAGAAATACTGGATGATGGATCCAAACCTTTTATTTGAGATTAAAGTAGTCATCATTTTTTTTTTCAGTGCTAGGGCTGGGAAGGTGGCTCAATGGTAGAGCGCTTGTCTTGCATGCTCGAGGCCCTGGGTTCGATTCCTCAGCACCACATAAGCAAAAAGAAAAAA